ACAGAAGGAAAAGAACAAAGGGGAGAAAGAGATTAAGAATTGAGGAGAGGAGATAAAAATCAAGAGAATGAGGTAGGAGTGAGTGGGGCCCACAGTCTACCAGGCTCCCTAACCCACCTCCTACCTCCTGAGGCACATGTGGGGAGGACGTGCGGGGTAGACCCTGGGTGGCTCACCTGCTGCAAGTCAGAGAGGGGGACAGGCTCACTGGCCAGCACTTGGTGGGGCTGGCTGGTGAGCGACGGCAGCGGTGGCAGCTTCTTCCAGTGAGTCAGGCTGCTGCTCAGCACAGCCAGGCGGGTGCTGGCCAAGAGGAAGGCAGGTGGCAGTCAGGCCCCATCTGCCCTGTGCAGCCCAGGCGAGCTTCACTCCCTCAAGCCAGGGAAGCAGGGTGTTGGGGGCCTCAGTTCACCACAAACTCACTCCAAGCCCACCTCCCTTGGCCTCTGTGCCCCTGAGTGTCAGGGCAAACAGGGCTGATGTGAACTACTACTGAGGCCCCAAGATGTGTGGTTAAGTCTCCTGGGCTGCACCCAAATTAGGAATTTGGACTGGGGCCCAGGCTCTGAAGATGCATCAGGGACCAAGGGGTTGGGAGGAGCCCAGGTAGCCTGAGGGAACCACACTGGCCAGGTGCTCACCTGTACTGCCTTGCCCGGTCCATGTACTCATGCTGCTCCATGCCCTGGGAGTCTGCAGCAGACACATCGATGATATTGCTTTGGGAGGAGGAGGCAGAGAGGACATGACAGGTGCTTCAAGAGGGACATACAGGACTCACTGCCAAGTGCCACTCCAGGGCTGACACTTGTCCCCATTTGCCCACTGGAGCAGGGCTGTGCCCAGAGGTACCTCTCCCCACCATCCCTGTCCCATTCCCCATGTCCTGGGCCCAGCACTCTCTATTCCAGCCTTTAACATGAATGGAGGAGCTCCACCTCAAGCTGGGTCCTGTGATGCTCACCTGGCTGTCTTAGCGAGGATGGAGGAGAGCAGGGCCTGCTCATCTGTGCGAGCAGAAGGCAGGCTGTGGTAGTTGGGCTCAGCTCCATTGAGGGCTTTGGTTGGGGGGCTGCCAGGGTCCAGCAGCAGCTTTCGCTCCTCTCGGTCCTGGGGAAGGCCATGGGTAGGAAGTCAGCCCAGGGCCCTTAGTCCAACCTACCTTTCTTGTGCTCTCCTCTCAGCCCAGCTCTGACCTTTAAGCAGAGATTTTTGTCAGGAATATCCCAAGTGCCCAACTCTGTGGAATGTCAGATAAGGCTTAGTTCCTGCCTGCCCTTGGAGGCTCAGCTGAGTTAGATGATGTAATGTGGAACCAAGCAGTCCTAGACGCCCACAACAGATGGACAGAGGCAAAATGCAAGTATTCAGTAATAGCTCAGGAGCTTCAGAAGACATTCCTTCACCTGAATAGAAAAAGGATACTGGAGGCATGAAATTAGAGGAATGGGGTCTAGAGGAAAACTGATGCAAGTTAGCAGCCCCAGAAGGCCCAACTCCAACAAGGATGTCTCCTCCCAGGATGGAGAGGCCCTGTGCGGCCCCAAAAGAAAGCAAGCCTAAGCTCTCTTAACCTCTCCTATTATCTCAGGGCAGGAGTCCTAGCCCCAGCCGCTGGGTTACAGTCCAAGTGTGCTCACTTTTGAGGGCAGGTCCCTTCACCTCTCAGGTGTTCACTCCCTCTCCTCTGATGCTCTTGTATGGGGCTCCCAGAACCAAACTTGGTGTACCTGGTGTATCTGACCTGAATAGTAATGCTGTTTCCTCCCATGCCAAGCTACACATCTCTATTCGTGTGGCTTCATTCATTTTCAGCAGCCCTGTTACTCCTAGGCTACAATGATAACCACAACCCCCAGAACTGACCTGGGACCAAAGTAAGTCTCCCAGGTCCTATATAATTCTGTGAGTGTTTCCCCTTGTCCTGTTTCAGTCCCTTGTTTTGATTTCTCTGGATACTACCCTGCCTTGAGCTCATCAGCTGCAAATCTCTGCTGACTTTGTATCAGTTGCAAACTGGATAAGCAGATCTGCTGGGTATGTATCCAAGCCATAAAAAGCAAGGGTGCCCAGGAAAAAGCCAAGGACAAGGGGCCTTCGTGGCTAATGCTGACTCACCAACCCTCAGTGCCAGACCACCAGACTCCTAGCGTACCACTCCAAGCCTATCTCAGTTCCTACTCGAGACTTTACCATTGCAGGCTACCAGCAAACCTGCCCACAACTCCACAAGACTCCTTATGGAGGGTCACTTCTGCCCTGATGCCCCACCTTAGGCAGCACAGCCTGTTCACATTACTCTTCCTTCTCAAGCCTAGGCTTACCAGGTGTCCTCAGTCCCAATAGGAGACAGAGGCTGTGGGCTTCTATCCCATCTCCTCCCAACATCTGGACACCATCCTCTCACCCCACCAAAACAGGATAAGTATTAAAGGGCTAGACAGAAAAAATGCTTGCCAAAGATTAAACTATCTCTGAGTTAACCTGGCTCCATAATGGACCCTGAGTGTGCTTCCTATGTGTCATCCTTCCCCAAGTCCCATTTTACATTTTCCTGCAGGACAGAGCAGTTTCTCCCCTCTCAGGGGATTCTTCAAGAACACAGTTCGTTTCTTGAGACCTAGACTTGTAGAAGAGGCCATGCTACCCCCAATTAGAGTAGACAAGTAACATCACCCCACCTCCAAAGGGTGAGTGGTGCACGGGAGGAGGTTTTTCTCACCAATGTTTGTCCCCAAGTCAGTGTCGAACCAGAAGTTGGGGTTTCACCATTCACCCTAGCACAGACACAAATGTGACCTGGAAATGACTAGACATCTGGTCTGTGAACACAGCTGAAAAAGACAGCTTGGCCCAATGGAGAGAGCACATGGCTTGGTATCAAAGCACTTTGGCTATGGCACTTCTCAGCTTTGTAACCTTGGCTAAATTTCACTTAGCCTCTCTGAACTTTTCACCACCTTTAAACACACATAACCCATACAAGTGTGACAGATGTTGGGCAAAAGTCAAATGAGATTAAGTGTAAAAGGCCTTTGAAAATTGTAATGTGTTGTACAGTTAACAAAGAAGCAGAGATGAGAGTGAGAGAAGGGACTGCCCAAGAGGTGAAAAGAGGGACTTTGGAATAGTGAATGATTATGGCTTGTACATGAGGTAAAGTTGACTTTTGCCACATGAGGCCTCAATTCATTCAGCACTGATCAAGCACCATCTCTGGGAGTTAGAAACAGAAGTGAGAGTCCATCAAGGGGAGGCAGATTCAGGACAGCAGCAAGCCCAGCTCTCCCAGCTAGAAGCTGATACCCTTTCTCATAAGGTATTAACCCTTCTTGACTGATTCTGTGCGAAAGTCCGTATTATACCTTATAGGACAATTTACCACTAGACCACAACTTTCCCAGTAGGCAGGGAATACTGTTTCCTTCTTTTAAGAGGCTGGAGTGAAGTGAAAGGTACTGGGCACAAAGCATGCCTAACATAAGGTATAGAAAATATGGGTTTGTGTTCATTTCCGTATCTGGATAATTAATAAGGCCCAGGAGCCACCCATGCCTCTCATACAAACATTTTTGCAAGCTTAAGCCCTTAACCTAAAATAGGTTCATGTGAGTCACTGGAGAGAGGGCTGCTTCCCAAATATGGGTGATATAATTAATCCATGCCTGTGACCATCTTCCCCACTAGACTGTGAGCTATTTGCTGAAACCTTTTTGCTGTCTGTGTCTACTACGGCTGAAATGTGGAACCAAAGCTTAGAAGTAATCAAAAGGTTAAGTGGCCAACAGCTGGAGAATTCATCTTTGGAAAGGTCCCTCTTCAAAAAAGGTCAGGTGGGCAGGGCAAGGATTAAAGTGTGGCAAAAAGTCAGAATGCACTGAAGAAGAGGGTGAATTTAAAACACAACAGGTCTCTGGTAGTGCAGCATAGGGAATACAGACAATAATTTTGTAACATTTTCCTATGTTGACATATAGTAACTGCACTAGTTGGGGTGAGGGCTTAATAATGTGGGTAACTGTTGAACAACTGTATTGTACACGTAAAATCAACGTAAGATTGTATATCAACTATACTTTAAAAAAACACCTGGGCAGATCTCCTCATTCTAACCCTTTCTGCAAAAGAATCAGATCTACAACCAAATTCCCAGTACTAGGCCCCCTTTTAGTTAAAGGCGAAAGCTGTACTAAAACAGGCCAAACTGAGCTCCCCATTCCATCTCGCTATTCCAATCTACTCTCATTTACTGCTTCCCAACTCCCCACAAGTCCCGATGTTCTCATTCTATTAACTCTTTAACTGGTCAACTCAAATGCCACCAACTTCCAGAGGCCTTCTCTGACCCCACACCAGCACTGACCTTCCCTCTCCAAGGATACACAGATTTCTGGTTCATCTCGGAACAAACTAATCAGTGCCTCAGCTTACCCACCTCTACAATGGATTCACAAAGCCCGCTAATACAGGCACAAAGGCACAGGAAGCTGGGAAGGCGGTGCTTCCCCGGGACCTAGACGGCGGGTCCTGGAAGCTGTAAGGGTTTAAAGGAAGGAAAGAGATGGGAGAAAGGATAGGCGGCTGCCCGCACACCCCATCGCGGGGACTGTGTAGCGAGAACTGGGGCTTTAACTGGAGTAGAAGCCTAGCCCGGTGTCCCCTCTGTAATGTCTACTCCCGGCCTCCGTACTGAGAGCCCCACACACCAGCTCTCCGCCTTCGGCAGGCTTTTTTCTGATTCCCATGCCCCAGAATCTCAGCCTTATTCCCGAGCCCCGCCGTGGCCGCACCTGGTCCGAATCCTCGTTCTCGCTGCTGTAGCAGCACCCCATGGCCGGGGTCTGGCGGGGCGCTCAAACGGCGCCGAGGAGGGACGGCGTCCGTCGGGAGCCCTTCCGGTCACATGACCCTTGGCTGCCTCTCGCAAGCAATACTGCCGCCGCTCCTACTTCATAGAGCCTCTTCGCGGCCGCCGCAAGCCCAACTTCCGGGCCGGCCCCCACCGCGTGATCATCGCCAGCCAATGGGAAGGCACACCCCGAGCGGCGGATGGGAGACACGTGATACGAGGAAGGTTGGGGGATCACATGACTTTACCCTCTTCCCCAGTGTCCGAGCCCTAGCTACCCGCCGCGGGCCATAGTGCCCCTCCTGTGAGTCGTATTATGTAGTCCTGCAACTGCCAGGCTACCTTTCTGGGCCAATGAGAGAGCTTATACCGAATGCCGTCATGAAATGCTCTTCTAAATGCCATGCGAGGGGAGAGTGGGATCCTGCACTCTTAAGAGCAGGCAGCCTAGGGGACACGTGGAGGGTGTCTAGGGACTGGGGAACTGAGACTTACTGGAAGAAGGAGCCTTATACCTTCACAAACTAAGGTGGAGTGGATCTGAATCCTGGTAAGAGGAGATAGAGGCCACCTCACTGATCTCTTTGTCTTCTGGCATTTCTCTTAAATCCAGCGTTTTCACAGCCGACATAGTAATCTAACACACGATGCTCTTAAAAATCACCCTATTTGTAACCCTTGGATCCTGAACACAGGCCCAAGTTTGTCATTAAAGATCTTGCAGAGCCTGACACCTAATTCCCACTCTCCCTGGTTTGGGGTGGGTGGGTGGTGGTAGTATGATGGAGAGGTTGCCAGGATGCCTCACCAGCCATAGGGAAACACAGTTTCCTGATTGCCCTCCTGGCCTTTGCACATGTGACCTGGCACACTGTCTCCCCACCAGGCCTGTGATGTTTTCATGACACAGTACAATATTCTGATTGTCATTTCTGACCCCATTCTCTGTTCATCTTCAGCGACCTGTACTCAATCCAATGTTGATTCATTCACTTACTGAATCAAGTATTTAGTATCTGTGATGTGACACACACTGTTCTATCTACAGATAAAACACAGCAGTTCACAAAACAGCTAAATGTCCCTGTATAAATGGAGCATCACATTATATTGTCTTGTTCTGGGTCAGTCTCTTCTACCAAACTTGGAGTTCTTGGCGGACAGGGACAGGATAGGACTCCGTGACCCAAGCCCTGGAACTTACTTAGACAAAACTTTAATTTTGAATTAATGAGTAAATTGCAATCTATCACCTTGGCTCACACTATGAACCATGTCCTGATCGAAGAGGTTTAAGGAGAAGCCACCAAACCCAGCAGCTCTTATTATCCTCCAAATCAAGACCCTGGAGTTCTGTAAATTCTCTCAGGGCTCCTGAAGGGTACGAGTCAGTTCCAGCTTGTTCCTGTGGCCAGTAACTTGAACTGCAGGTCTCAGGTGACAGCAACAGCCTCACCATCAATAATTGAGAGGACATCCAGTCTGCCTCAGGGTTCTCTCCCTCTAAGGACTCCCCCTCCTGTCCTATGCTCTGGTCTTCCCCAAGCAGGAGCCTCCAGCCCAGGTAAGCAGGGCTCTTGAGTGTGGGTTCCCAAGCACACCACTTCAGACTCACCATCATTCGCCTATTCACATCCATTCATACACTCTTGCTTTCATTTTTAGTTCCCACCACCATCAGGAGCCTCACAAGCGTCAGATCTGGAGGAGAAGGGAGGATGGTTCAGGGCACTTAACCCACTTAGGGAGTCTGGGAGAAGAGGCCTGAATGGTGTTCTGTGTGTATGTGTGTGTACAAGCCTGTGCAGGGAATTCTGAGAACTGAAGAGGGAATGCAGGGGAGAGGAGACAGGACTGGAGAAGAAATTTAGAATTAAGGACTCTTCCCACCCCAGGGAAGAGCAGATAAGAGGGAATCCTGGGGTGGAAAGAGACTTCATCCTACTACACTATGGAATGTCTTTTTGCTTGCCTTTTACTGAAGCAGAGCACAGTGACTGAAGGGGTTTCTGACTACAAAGCTGTGCTCTTTTGCTACACATTAGTGGGCCAGAAGAAACCAAGCAGGAAAGGCGTAAGGATGGGGGAGGATATCTCAAAGGGGAACTGGTGAGAGAGGTCCTGAGGAAAGGGTGACTACAGAGATGAAGGTCAACAAGGAAAGTAAGGTGAAGACAGGACCAGGATTCAGAAGTGGGTAGAGATAGTTTGCAGTTGGATGCACTTAGACCAGCTTGGAGTCCTTGAGAGTACATGGGCTTGGAATCAAACCAGCTCAAATTCAAATCCCAGTTCTGCCATGTGACTGTGGATGAAAGTCAGCTTTTCTGAGCCATAATTTGTAAAATATAGAGAATTGCTACTGGTAAGGGCTGCACAAATGACTGGCAAATGGTGGGCATGGGTTTCCCTCCCTGCCTCCCTCCACTCCAGGGCCCAAATAGGGACCATGTCCCCCGCCATTGCGCTGGCCTTCTTGCCCCTCGTGGTGACATTGCTGGTGCGGTACCGGCACTACTTCCGACTGCTGGTGCGCAAGGTCTTGTTGCGGAGCCTCCGAGATTGCCTGTCGGGGCTGCGGATTGAGGAGCGGGCCTTCAGCTATGTGCTCACCCATGCCCTGCCTGGGGACCCCAGTCACATCCTTACCACCCTGGACCATTGGAGCAGCCACTGCGAGTACCTGAGCCATATGGGGCCTGTCAAAGGTCAGTGTTCCCTAGCATTCTGCTCCAGGAAGCACCCTCAAGATGGCAAAGAAAGATCTGGGATCTGCTTCTGACTTACTGGGTGAATTGGGCAGGTTTTTTACACTTTCTGGGTTTTTATTATCTCCTCTGATGAGGCTGGGTAAGGTTACTCATTCATCTAGCAAACATTTCCTGCCACTTCTTTTGTACCCAGCATCTGCAGGGTACTGGGGGAGAAAGAGGTACAGGGTACAGAGATGAGTCAGCCAAAAATGCTGGCCTCAAAGGGGGCATAACACCAAGGGGAATAAGCATCTCAGCACATAACCCATAATTTTGTGGAGTTAAGGGAGATAACCCATAATTATCTGTGTCTGAGTCTTCCTTCCCCACCGTGGAGGCTCCCACATCCCACTCATGGTAGCTGTCTGACTGGATCTGTCTGAACCCCAGCTCCCAGCAAAAGGGCTTTTAGACTCTTATTAAAGAAATTCATCCAATTCCAAGGTGAGAAAGACATTGAACAAACAAAACAATAGGGAATGAAACTGGAAGTTTTAGCAAAGGTCTTTCCAGAGCCTGGAAGATGGTCTTTCAGAAGCCTGGTGGTTGTTTCTGCCTGGGCCTTCCTGGAGGGAGCAACATTTGAACTGATAGAAGGATCACTTTCGAATTGGCCAGATAATGAGGACAGAGGTGAGGAAGGGCAAAGCTAGTCATGTGTACAAATGCAGCACGAAAGAGTGAACGAGCATGGTTAACTCTGGGCACAGTCTGGGATGGGGTGTAGGCTACAGGTGGGAAGAATTTGAGAGCTGAAACTGGAAAGGTAGGATAGGATCAGGTCCAAGAAGGTCCTGAATATCAAGAATCCCAAATTCAATCCAAGGCCTTTAGAATCATAGGGCCCAGGGAATGATAGGCTCAGATTTGTTTGTTAGGAAAATCCTAGTGGCTGGTGTGAAGACTAGAGTGGAGGAGGCAACTCTAGAAGGGCAGTGAGGGAAGGGCAGTGAGGGAGGGAGAGATCAGACCCCAGCTAGTTGGGGGCTGTAGTGAGGCAGGTGGGCATTTGAGATCCCTTTCTACTGGGGGCTCTGCAGCCATCTCCCCCATAGGTCAGATCCTGATGCGGCTGGTGGAGGAGAAGACCCCTGCCTGTGTGCTGGAGCTGGGCACTTACTGTGGATACTCCACGCTGCTCATTGCCCGTGCCCTGCCCCCTGGGGGCCACCTCCTTACTGTGGAGCAGGACCAACGAACAGCAGCAGTGGCCGAAAAACTCATCCGCCTGGCTGGCTTCGACGAGCACACGGTCAGCCCCCACCTCCTCAACCCTGTCTCTTCCCTGCCATCCCAGGCCTTGCCCTAGACAAGCCTCTCCACTGGGGGAAGGAGAGGAAGCAGCTAGGGGATTCTGGAGGGTGTGAGCTCCTGTCCTAAGTCATTTACAGATATTTGCTGTTCAACAACAAAGCAGCAGTTAAGAGGAAGGTCTCTGGAACCCAGCAAGTCCAGGTTCAAACCTTAGTCTGCCTCTTGTTAGCCTTGGGGAAAGCACTTATCCTCTGAACCCCAGCTTCTTCACTGGCAGACTGGAAATCACAATACTGATCCTGACTTCTTGGGTTCTGAGGCCAGAGGAAATGTGTGAACACTCATGGGAACCTAGGCCAGGGTCTAACATAAAGTAAGCCAGGTCCTGGTGGGGTTTGGTGCAGGGAGAATAATCCTTCCCACCCTCACCTCCAGCTCCTCCCACCCCCACAGGTGGAGCTAATTGTGGGTAGCTCAGAGGAGGTGATCCCATGCCTACGAACCCAGTACCAGTTGAGTTGGGCAGACTTGGTGCTCCTGACACATCGGCCCCGATGTTACCTGCGGGACCTGCAGCTGCTGGAGGCACATGCCCTTCTGCCAGCTGGTGCCACTGTGTTGGCTGACCATGTGCTCTTCCCTGGTGCACCCCGTTTCCTGCAGTACGCCAAGAGCTGTGGCCGCTACCGATCCCGCCTCCACCACACTGGCCTCCCAGACTTCCCTGCCATCAAAGACGGCATAGCCCAGCTCACCTACACAGGGCCTGGTTGAGGTCCAGGCCCAGGGGTTCTTACTCTACTCCCTACCTCCACCCAAGCAAGGACCTCACAATATCCTGTCCCCTCCTTGCTTATGGCTGGGGAGGCTCTCCTCCCACACCCCTGCCCCACTCCAGTTCCACACTGATCTGAGGCATCAAGTTCTGTCACGCTGTTTGGCCCTATGGTACCCTTCCTTCAAGGGAGAGCCATGGGCTGACAGGCAAGAGGCCTGAGCTCCCAGCCCAGCTCTGTCACTGATTTTCTGAGTGACTCCATGGGAGTCCCTACTCTGCTCTGAGACTTAATCCACTTTCTTAATACCAACAAAGCTGGCTGGGAGAACTCCAGGCGCCTCTCAGCTCTGGGCCTCAGAAAGCTTGCCCTCCCCAGCCCATGCCATTCAGGGTGGGAACAGGGGAAACAGTGAATTCTGAGTTCATGGCCCTGTAGGAATGGGTGCAAGCTGGGCCGGAGGAAATGGCAATGGAGCCAGGGCCAGGGCTGTGCCGGGCTTCCCTGACTCTGGCCCACATAGCCAGGTAGCTTTGCCTTAAGTCCCTTGTGTGCCTTCTCCCCAAAGCTCAAGAGAAGATATTGGATTCCTCTGGGGCCCACCAACAAATAGGGAATATACATGGGGAAAAAAAATATCAGTCCTGTGTTTTTATTAAAGAGTTATAAAGAGATTATACCTGGCAACCAAGGGGTGAGGTACTGGCCATAAAGCTGGGGTAGGCTTAGGCCCTGGGGATTCAAAGGCAGATTGATGACCTGGGAGGGACCAAGGAAACCAAGTCCTGGCGGCAGCAGCAGAGGTGCCCGAGGGTGAGTATCCAGGCACTGGGGCAGCAGCTGGTTCTGCAGGGGCTGCATGGTTGGTTGGGCTGGTGTGGAATCTCCCTGAGGCCACCCTGCCTGGTCTACCTAGATCATCCACTGGTCCTGATCTTGTTCATTGCCTTCCATGTCCACCTGGAGAGGAGGCTGGTGTGGGTGGGGAGGAGCCTCAGCCACCCGGCCAGCCCCAGTCCCAGATCCTGCCCCTGGCTGGATCCAGGGTTTCTGTACCCCACCCACCACTTAGGTCAACAGTAGGGGCCAGGAGCAGAGGCCCTCCCTCCCCCACACCCCAGCCTACCTCATTGACCTCTCCATCATCAGGTGACTCATTGTAGTCATTCATCTCATCCATGTCCTGCATGTCTTCATCATCCTCTGAGTCCTCTTCACTATCCTCGTCATCGTCTTCATCCTCCTCTTCCTCGTCATCATAGTGCTGGTGAGGCAGGGAAGAGCCTATAGGCTCTACAAGACTGCCCAGACTAGTTCAAAGGCTGGCCCACTTGGAACCTCTCACTGGAGCCAACAAATGAGCCCGCACTCCCTAACCCTTCCCCCCTGGATTCTAGCAGGCTGGCTCATGTTCCGCAGGACCTTACGCTGGGCCCAATACTCACTCTGTCTAGCTCCCCTTTATAACCGCCACACAGAGAAGAAGACCATGACTGACTGCTCTGGGGTCAGAGGTAGAACCTTCAGCGTTAGAGCAGAGCTTTAGTCCACCTGGGCCCCACTTGGAGCCACTCACCTCTGAGGCCGGCTTGCCAATAGGTACCAGGTTGTTGTCTTTCTCTGCAATGCTCTGGAGCTGTGACCAAAGAGGGAGGACAGCAGGGCCAGGTCAGAGGCATGGGACTGTACCATCCTGTCTCCAAGAACACCCCCAAGAGTGAAAGAGAAGCTTCCCTCCAGTTCTCTGGAAGATTTAATTCCTTTCTCTCCTGTCATTTGCCACTTACTTAGGAGCTTGATCCAACTACATAAACTCTCTGGGCCTTGGTTTCCTCATAAGATTATGGTGACAATGAAGTGAGACACTAGCAGCCTAGAACATGGCATCTGCCAGATCCTCAACAGATGATCAAAATGATCATTCCTATACTTTAGGAAAAAGAGCCTAGGTTCCAATCCATCCAGAGGTCCCATGGCCCAAAAGCAAATTACACAAAAATGAGAACCTAGCCCCCCCACCACAGCCCACCCCCAACAGTCAGCCTGATTCTTCCTAACTCAGAGCAAAAAGCTCCTCCAGGGCAGCTCTCAGACATTAGGCTGGGTCATGGCCAGTGAAGGAGTGGAAGTGTCCCTGACTGAGGCTCCACTACCATGGCAGGTCCTTACTCACCCAGGCCTGATGCTGCTGTTCTTGCTGCTGCAGTTCTGTCTCCTCCACACAGGGTCGATCCAGATTAAACCACAGTGTCTCAGTCACACGGGGGAAGAGTGAGGGGAACAAGGTGGACATGGCTCCTAGACTAGAGGTAAAGGGTCAGGTGAATCTAGCTCTCAGATGTGTTTGGTTTTAGTTTATATTTGGTTACAGTTTGATTTGGGGAAGGGGTGGAGTGGAAGGTAGCAGGGAAATAGCCTTTTCCTGTGGGAATCAGACAGACCTGGTGGCTCCACCACTTCCTAGCTGTTTGACCTTGGCCAAGTCACTTAACCTCTCTGAGCCTGTTTCCTCATCTGTAAAATGGGGATAATAACAATTAACCACCCTCACAGTTATTCTGATAATTAATTTACTTTATGGATAAGTAAAGCTATTTGTAAGTTGTTGAGGACAGAAGAGAACTGAAACAGAATGCAGAGATAGGAATCCAGAATGCATACTGGAGTTACAAAATTATACAAAATTAGAGGTGACAGGGTTCTACTGTAACTATCTCTACCTCCCCCTAACACTACCTATTTTTTGCCCCTCTGTTGTCCATATCATCCCCACCCAGTGTCAGAAATTTAGGACACTAACCACCTCTCTCCTGAACCACACCCAAATTGGAGAGGGAGGGTTACCACGGTCAAATATAGTTCAGTAAGACATTCTAAAGACAAGAATAAATGGATAAATAAGTAGATGGGAGACTGAATAAATGAATTTAACATGTGAATGAACAAATAACCTCAGCTTGGATTAAGCAGCTGAGGTATCTGACCAGGAAGGTCTCAGAGTATTCTGAAGTGAAACCTTTCAGTTCACAGGAAAACTGAGACCCAGCGACAAGCAGCGACTAAGCTTTAGGTCACACGATGAGTTGGGGCATAGAACTCCTGCGGGAAGACAACCAGACAGGACACTAGAGGAGATGCAGGACCTACGTCTAATTCTGCTTTTGCTCTAATGTGTTTTACTAATCCGGGGCCAGCCGCTGCCCTTTCTAGGGCCTCAACTTCCCAGCCCGTGTAAAAGGTGCAAGAGCGCCCACGCTCACGTCCCAGAAATACTGAGACGCCAGACAGCGAGGCTCGGAAAGCCCAACCCCTTGCCTCAAAGTCACCGCCCATCCTCTGCTTATTATGATAAAAACCATGGGACTGACCAACAGAAAGAAGGCAGGGGCGGGATTCGGACAGTCATTTGCCCTTATAGGGTTGCTAATCGTGAAAGGAGTGTGCCTGGGTAGGGCCAGTTAACTGGAAAAAATACTGGGTGACAGAAAGGGACACCAATGAGTGACGGTTCTGTGTGAGGGGGTGGGGCTTGGTCTCGAGGAAGCAGCCAATGAGCTAGAGGTCTTTAATGTTGGAAGCAGTCTGAACATAGAGCCCCTGAGGTGGGTCAGAGGAACAGAATTTTTCTGAGGGAGAGAGAAAAGAAAGAGCAAAGAGACACAGCCACAGCCTTGCCTTGTGTACTTACCGAGCCGGGAGTCGGCAGCCGGCGACGACCCGGAAGCACTTCACTGTTCCTGAGCGGAAGGACCCGCCAGAACTCGGACACAACAAACGCATGCGCTTTTGATCTCCTTTTGTTTCTGTTCCCGCCCACCAGACCGGATGTGACGTTATACACCCTAGTCACGTTGTTGGGGGTGGGAATTTGCCTGCTCCTTCGGCCCTGCTCCAACTCTTAGCCAATTGGCCTCTTCAGCCTGCTCCCACCCTAAAGGCCTCATTTAACAGCTCCCCTCTAGCCCCAAGCGGTGTTTGCTCTCTAACCCTTGCTGCAAAATAGCTGACAGCAGCCTGCGTTAGTGCTGGGACTGTCCTCTGTCCGTGGAGAGCTAGTGTGCTCCTAGCTTCCAGAAACGCTGGGTGATTTTACGCCCTTCTTCTTTGTCCTCTCTCACCCTCAGTTTCCCATATGGGCGCATACATTTATGTTTGCTTTAACAAATATTTGAGTGCCTGCTATATTTCAGGCCCTTCTAGAAGCTGGAGATGCATCTAGGAACATGATCCCTGGCCCCAAAGACGTTCACAGTCCAGTGGGGAAGCCAGACTTTGCAGACCCGCAGTGGACTCACTGGTTTCTCGACTGCTTGTCCAGTTCCGCATTCGAAATTATGTGCGCGCTTGAGTGACTGGTCAGCCTCAGACACCGAATTCTGTTGCAGGGGAATTTAGCTGCCAGGTTGGGCTAAATACACTTAGAGGCCAGCCTTGTCATCTCTCCCACTACTTTGCTAATGCTTGTGTTCTAGTAATCTCTGACTCAGCCTCCCCTTCAGCTTCCTCTTCTCATGCCTTCTGGTAAAAGAAACCCTTCGAACCCAGCCCCCATTAAGCTCCACCAGACACCAGTTTTTTCCAGGGCCAGCAATCATCCACAGTTCACCTCCTGCCCCGACTAGATGTGTGACCTTTAAGTTCTTTCTCCCCTTTCTGGACTGTTTCCTCTTCAGCCAGAATCACAATCTGCTCAGCTTTCCTCCTATCCTGGACTGCTGTGAGGATTTGATGAAATTACATGTTTAAGAGAGAGTGTGCTGTGCATATCCACGTGATTATGTTTCCAAGTAGCTCTGGTTGTTACAAAGCTTTTCATTAAAGAGTAAAATCTGCCTCTTAGAAAAGTCCACCCTTTTCATTCATTCATTCATTCTACAAAAACCTATTGAGTACCTAACTATATGCCTGCCACTAATCTTAGTGGGTATACAACTGAACAAAACACACACAAAAAAATCTCCTCATTGCAGTGAGAGAAACAATAAAAAATATAAATAAAATATATGGTTTTAAGATTGCAGTAAAAAAAAAATACCCAGAGAAGTGGAAATAAAACATGGGCAGGAAGATGTTTTTACTTTGGTGGTTGGAGGTAGGTTGTCAAGAAAGACCTTATTGGGAAGGTGACTTTTGTGTAAAAGTATGAAGAAAAAGAACACTGTTCTGATATTATTTAGGGAAGAGCATTTCAGGGAGATAGCAAGTACAAAGGGCCTAGAATGGCTGGAGCAGAGTGTACTGTGTTGAGAGCAGGAGGAGATAAGGACAGGGAGGTAGCAGGAGCCAGATATTACAGCCTTGCAATGACAACTTTGGCTTTTACTCTGTGTTGAGAATCCTGTGAAGGATTTTGAGCAGAGGAGCCAAATAATTTGATTTACATTTTAACAGCTACTCTTCTGTTCCATGAAAAATAGATTCAGGGGGGCAAAGGCAGAAGCAGGGAGACCAACTGGAGTCGATTATAATAATCCAGAGGTGGGGCATGAGAAGTGGTTAAATTTTGAATATCTTTAGAGGGTAGGGAC